TATATATATATATATATACACACATATACATATATCTGTGTATACATGTAGATTTTTGTATTTTACTAAACTGGGTATGTATTGGATGTACATGTGGAGCAGGCAGAATGGGATGCCAAGAGTTAGTGAATCATTTTTCTCTCGTTGCTCTGTAAACTGTTTGTTTTCTCAATAAGTTTACATTCCAGTAAGATTTCAGATCTGAGACTATAGCACTCAGTTACTAACTCATAAATATAAACAGCTTGTGTGTTTTCCTTTGCAAAACAAGCCACTGCTGGATGTGAGATGGCTGAAAATTAAGCGTTTTGTGTTCCAAAAATGTTTTATGGACTTTCTTCAACGAAAAGCACGTGGACACACGCATTAATCTCAATAAGATGCTTCCTCACAGGATAAAAGTGATTACTAAGAGCAACTTTGAACTGATTTGCAGTGACCATATAAGGCTACAGAAAGCTAAATGCCCTCTAACCGTAGCAGCTTCAAACAGAAAAAACACATTTATTTAATGTTCTATTTTAATACCTCTGGTTTTCTGTGTTTGTCTGTTTTATTAAAGGCTAAAAAATAAATAAAAAAATAAATAACATTGTTCTTCCTACATTATGCATGTGAAAATATCTATACTGTAGCTTTAAAGGAATACTAAGTCATAATTCCTAAATTTGTTTAGATATTTTCATGTATAGCTGTGCATCAAAGTCATGTGCTGTTTAGATTTACAAGCCCCAGTTCTTACAATTATCTCCTCCTTAGTTTCCTTTGGACACAGGAAAAGGCGCCTCACTTTTAGGACATCAGCAAAGTACGTCAACCTAAGAAAAGCATTCCAAGAGCAAACATGCTTTGTGTCTTGGCCAGTCTGGGTTATTCAGAGGGTTTGTTATCTTGGGTCTCCTTCATGCATTCATTCACACCACCCCTCTGCTCCCACACACAAGACCCAACTTTTTTCAGCCTTCTGATATCACTGGATACACAAGATGTCAAACCCACACAGGATTACGCAGAATTCTGTGACATGTACTGTGAGTATGCATAAGCAGAAGGACATACATAAACATACGCTGGATACAGTATTTGCACATACATCACACACACAAACAGAAAAACAGAAACACTCAAGCATGTACACAAATTTGAATGTCTTGAACTGACGAGGAATGTTGAAATTCAGCCAGAAATCAGACAGCTGTGTCTCCCGGAATCAGAGATTTTAATAGGCTGGCCGTAACAAGGACTTGACCTTTAACCCAGGGTCTTTCAGCGCTGTATTTCCTCACTCTGCCCCTTGTTCTGGCTTAATGATAAAAAGGCATTCCATCTATCCCCTGCTCATTCTTGGATTTCACTTTTGTTTTCATGATAACGTGACACTGGAAGGCATGTGATATACTTGTGATTATGTAAACTCTTGTAGTTAAGATACCAAGCAAAACGACACCTAAAAAGCGGTATGATTTTAAGTCTAAAACAAGCCATAATAGTTACAGTTTAATAATTTGTTACTGTAAAAATTCAGTGGACAAGACCTTCCATAGATGAGGCTCCATACAACCATTTTTCAACCAGATGTGTCAGGTCTTCTACTGCATAAAGAAGTATTGGAGACAAATTGCGCTCACTGGCGCAGACTGACTCAGACTGCTTGCAGTGCGTTGGCAATCTGTCTGCATTTATAAACTAGACAGTGAGTATTTGCAAACTTTCTCTGAGTGAATATAGTCTGTCTGAGTCAGACTGCAGTTGTTTGGAGACAGGTTACCCAGGAGGTGACCTGTGCAATCAAAAGTGGTCACCCAGAGGTTGAGGATGTTGCACAGCCAGTCTCTGAGCAACCAGTTGGTCACAGCAACTGCTTGCAATTGGTTGTTAAATGCAATGCAATACAATGAAATCACTGGGAAAAACATGGCTTTTATTAGTCATAAGGAGGTTGCTGACTTAGGTTGGCCAATAGAAAACTTAGCCCATGACAGTAGGCTTTGGCCAACCGAGAACGTGTTGACCACAGATGCTTTGTGACTGTTTGCTGAATTTTTACTTTACTCTATAGTACATATTAAATATTTGCATGTACATATATGTATATACTACTTACAGTATATATAGTGTCAAACAGACTTGGCAAACATTACCAAATGATAGAATGGTGGGCATTTTTGGTGTTCGAGTGCTCTCTAATAGTATTTTAAATTTACTGCAACAAATTCTATGGAATGAAAGATACTTAATATCTTGTGGTAAATGTAGCTCAGGCGTATGGTTTGCTGTCCATTAGCCACTACGTAGGTTTGCAGTTTGATCCTATGGCTACTTCCATGTAGGTGCTGCAGTTTATAAAACAATGCTTGTCCTGACTATGGATTTGTACTTTCAAGAGATAAGCAGAAGAACATATAAAGCTACCCCGAGCACAGGTGACAAGTTTGTAGCACCTGTTATTAGCTGAGCAGGGAGAAAAGAAGAGATAAATTAAATGCGTGCGTTCAAATTATTATTATTATTATTATTATTATTATTTTACACAGGCAAGGGAGCAGGTCAACCACATAAACCGGTCTGAAAGCTGATCCCCACAGTCTAAGCATGTCCTCTGTGCTGAGGTCTCTTTCTGCCAGGATCACTGGCGCACACACACACACACACACACACACACACACACACAAATACGTCCATGCACAGAGTCACATTCCTCTGCAGGCTCTGCGAGGGGCAGGCGCAGAGTGTGCTGGAAGCTTGGAACTGCTCTTCAGAGTGAGCGTCTCCCTCCCTCCCTCTCCCTCTCTCACTCTCTACCCCCAGTCGTTAAGTTTGCGAGCAGAGGAGGAAAGAACGGCAGAGAGACCAGGGGAGGTCTGACGACACTATCCCAGCATACCCAGCACCTACTTTAAATGCACACTCTGATAAACGCAGGCAGGCTCTGATTTACTGGAGGAACACCAAGAAATATAGCCAAGCTGTCACACTCCAAGACATGTGTGCAACTTTCCCTGCCAGGACAAAAGCTTAAGAGGAGGTTTGGAAACATACATGTGTGTCCCGTCCATGGCAAAAAAGTCTGCATGAACTCTGACTGCTGGAGGTCCAACTTAAGGATGGAGGATACATGTTTCAGGCTAACGTTTTCTGATTCAGCACTTAAGAGAACATCTAGTAAAGCATAGAAGGAGAAACAAGAGACACAAGAAATTTAATCACCCTCAACAGCGCTTCCAGGCTGATATGATGCTGTGGTACCACTACAGTCGTCACCTGCTGTCGCTGGCGGCGCTTCTGGTGATTGTGAGCTGCGGAGGAGGTGAGCAACGGAGAGGGACGGACGGCAGCAGCAGTAGCAGTAATGGAGGGAGTACTACTAGTAGTAGCAGCAGCAGCAGTAGTAATTCCAATAACAGACGTTTTCATAAGATCCAGCATGGCCAGTGCACCTACACCTTCATCCTACCTGAGGGAGAGGGAGCTGGAGGAGGCTCCTGCAAGGAAGCGAAGGCCAGTAGCTCGCAGTACAACGCCAACTCTCTCCAGAGGGACGCTCCACCACCTGAGCCAGACTTTCCCAGCCAGAAGATCCAGCAGCTGGAGAACGTTATGGAGAATTACACCCAGTGGCTACAGAAGGTAAGGAGGGACTTTATGTGGAGCATCAGGTGCTAGATCTCTCTTTTCATTTAAACATGATCTTGGCTTAATGATAAGCTGAAATAAGAACGCAGTGGGATTTTCCTGTTTTAATCAGAACCACGCTGAAAATCTTAGAATTGCATCTGCATGAGTTTTTTCTTTTGAAGTGGCTGCTGTGTGCTATTTGTTGAGATATTTGTGTCTGCTTGGGTGTGTGGTCTCCCCAGAGCGTCTGTTTGTAGCTTCACTAGATACCTTGTTTTGGTTTGTGGACGAGGCTGTCAGACTAAAACCATGCAGTGTTTGCTGTTTTCATGTAGTCGACACGTAGTTTGTCAAAGTGCTTGTCAGTAGGAGAGTTTATGTGCCTTGGAAAAGTGCAGCTTTCTTTTACCCATATCCCCCCCAAAGGGTGATGCTGTGTGGCCACTTTCAAAATAAAATTCCGGAGATTACCACACAAAACACTGACAACATCAAAAATGTTAAAATGCACGGCTGTCAACTGGTTGACTTGCACCTAATAACTCCTTCAGTTGTTGAGAAAGCAGCCTGGTCTCATAGTGGCATTAATCTTCTTTGCTTCTGAGTTGACAAACAGACTTTTATTAGTTAACAAAATATGTGTTTTTGATAACACACAAAAGAGGACAGACTGGAGTATTTGGTTACGTAACTGTGTACTGCGTCTCTGTCTAACACATCTCTGTTTTCCTGACGTCTTCCTACTTTTCTCTGTGTTAACCGCAAAATTCCACAGATGCTCATACAGCAAAGGTAGCTATATGTCAGTCACCCTCTGCTCTCCAGTGGGCTGTCTCTTTAATGGCAGGAAGTCAGAGGGAGCCCCAAGAGACTCAAAGAGGAGGAAAAGACATGGAAGGAGAATGCTCTCTTTATTTTTGTTCAAGTGTGAGTTTAGCCTGAAAATCCAGATTCATATAAAAGAAGTTTTATGTGAATATTTTTATTGGAAGAATTTATTGGTTAAATAACTCCTAAATTAAATCCTTTTAATGGGAATTTGAAGATCTGTGAGGTGCTATGTTCAAATATGTTAATAAGATGCGAATTCTGAAGCCATATCTGATACTGCTTGGCAGGCACTCTGCTTTTTCAGGCTTTGAGACTTTGTGTCTCCGAAAAGCCCAAGACCGTCTCTCTGAAATGAATACACGATTCAAACAAACAAACTTTCAGTTTTGGCATCACAGGATCTCGTGCTCCTGCTCTTTCTACAGTGTTGTTGCTCCCAAATAAGATTAGCATGTCCAGTCTGCCATCAACACCTAAAAGCTGATGGCTTATTTTATTTTCCGCAGTTTGTAAGTCAAACACGCGCACAGCTAACAACTGATGGATTTCATGGATCACAGTGTAACGGGGAATTTATCAAGCTGAATTTCACCGATTAATCTGTTTGTACGCAATGAACATGTCCTTCGAAAGCTCTCAGAGCTACGCTGCGTCTGCTTTTCGTTTTCTCAGAGAAAGTAATTTTCACTCCACGAGTTGGAGGAAATAGTCATTTCTCATCAATTAACCAGGTAGCGGTCTGCTAGAGCGAGATGTTGACTGAGTTCGTAATTAAGGGAGGTAGTGTTGGGGGCTACTCCACCCTCCAGCAAATTCAGAATATCTTACGAAACTACAGAACTTATAAATGCGTCTCAAACCAACTTGGGTATAGCACAAGAGGGATTTTGTCGCTACTACTGACTTTATCTACATTTAGCATTCTGTGTGTCACAGTTGTTTATGTAGAGTCACCATTAAAGGGAGGAAAAATGAGAAAAGACTTTTAGTAGTCAAACGTCTGAAAACTTGTGTATGTGTTTCTGTCTGTGTCTTAAGTGCAGAGAAAGGCCATGGTTTATAATAATACCAGCTCTATCTTTGCTCAGTGAACCTCATCCGTCTATGACAGTACAAGGGACCCTGTGAAAACACAACGGCAGCATTCGTGCACTGAAGGTTTGACTAATGGGACCTCTAGAATAACTTTCTCCTCAGATGTAAGGAAGAGAGCACCACTACTGCCATTGTGCTTCTCTCCTGACACCTAGGAGTTTATCATGCAGGACCAAAGGCAATCTTATCATGAATTTTCTGATGTATCTTCTAAATACTGTAAATTTAAATACAAAAGCAGAAAAAACAAGTATCAGAAATAAAGAGGAATTACCTCTTGGTCACTTCATAAGGGAAGTTTAAACACACAGTGGTAATTCACGCTAATTGCACTACATGGGGGGGGGAGAACATCAGGATGCAGTTAACATTTTTCATTGGACAGAAGATTAAGCGTCTCAGTCGGTCTATCTATCTTAATCACGCCGGTCTTTTTACTGCTTGTCTAAAAGAAAGCTCGCCCTGATGCTGCTCCAACCAGCCCTGATGAAAGAGACGGACAGAGAAGATTATTATAGATAGCAACCCTGTGCCTGTGCTTTCCGTCCAGTGTGGGGGGTAGACAGTTAAGAGTGATGTAGCAAACAGCTGTTGGGGAAGTGTTTTAAGCCTGAGATCTTACCTTTGTCAACCCAGGGTAAAGTATATGGACCCGGATAACATTCCTAACCAGTCAAAGGTGGCTTGTGTTTGCTCAAGGATTACTTCTTTTTCCTGTCTGCAAGGTGAAGAGCCATGGATAAGCTTTCTTACCAGAATTTCACAGAATTATAAAAGGAACACACGGGCAGAAAACCCCCACAAAAAACAAGAAATGGAGAGAAAATAAAAGACAACAGGTAGGTGACTGTGTTTGGTATGCAAATGTGTTTTTATTTTTGACACTTATCTATAATACTTTTGTTTTCTGTTCTTACCAAATATATTGTACACAGTGATATTAATTATTCACTGATTTGTACTTTAATGGGGTTTATATTGGGCAATAGCTGAAAATGAAAAAAAAAATAGAGAAGAAACACCCTTCAGTGATGTTACAAGTGTTGATGTTGCATAGTCTGTCCACCTGAGGGCGCTCTGCAACTTGTTGGCAACAGGTGTTTGCCAACAAGGAAGAACCAAACAACTATAGATCAAAATCCTTTATCAGACAGGCTGTAAAACTGGGACAGTACATCAGACATTTCACAGGATTCAATTCCCACAATGCACCTGCTGCAGCAACTCACCTATCTGTTACAAACCAGCCAATCTTAGTACAAAACAGAGTGATACAGAATACTGAAGCTAACAAAATGCTAAAATACATACTCAATATGCAGCAGGAAGGTAAAGTACGAGTTTTTTCGAATTTTCTCCATATCTCATAAACAGGTGTTTTTGCTATTAGTTAGTTCCTTGCTAGAATGCAATACGGTTACAGCTTAGAAGAGATTTTGTTATCTTATGCTGGCAAGTCAGCTTTATTTATTATTATTATTTATTTATTTATTTATTTCAAACATATGTCACCATATGTCACGTCAAAGTGCATAAAAAAATCGTCCATTTTCAATCCAAATCCAGTGTATGCCTGTAAAATTCCACAATGAAACTTTGAATATATATATAAATCTCAACCACAGTGTCTCACAAACATCAAACATAATCATTTAGCATCAAACAGCAGCAAGCTAACGTTTCCATTTCTGAAGCTTTTATAACATAAACTGTCTGGTCAATGCAGCAAACCTTATTTTTGAAATACCTAAGTATGAGTTGATCTTCTTGGGATTTAAAATATCTCGTGCTTATAACTTTGTGCAATTTAGGGCACAAAAAGGATTCCCAGTGTCATCTCGCCATAAGGTCTCCTACCGTTTATGTACATATACAGGCCATAATGTTCTAAAAACCTCCTATTAAAATGTTTTCTTCAAGCAGGCTGTCCCAAAATCTTAATGCTATCGGAACAACAGGACAATTTCACCTCGACTAAATGTTAGCAGCCGTCATGGAATAAAGAAGCCAGAAGATTGCAATAATAACCAGGAGCCAGATTTAAATATGCACTTATTGCATAAAATGAGT